GCGCGCACGCGTACGCACGTACACGCACACGCACACAACATGCACACACAAACTCACGCACACTCACACGCACATACACACACCGCACACACACGCACACGCACACGCACGCATGCACGTACACACACACACCATGCCAGCACGCACGCACGCACACCACACACGCGCACGCACGCACTCACTACCACACACACGCACAGACAAACATTGAGTCAGAACTTTTCCGAACAACCCAATATCCTCCCTTAGAACATGCAGGACCCGCCCCCACGATGGATCCAGAGCCCTCGTAAATCCGCATAGATGGATCGAGTAAACGTGCCGCCAACCACCACACTTGAACTATTGCTTGCTAAAAGCGTGCAAAGCACACCTGAGCTCTTTCGATTTTATACACGTTGCGAACCCTTCGCTATCTACCACTATGATCACTGTGATCAAATATACCTTTCGGAACATTTTCCGGGCACCACAAATATAAATCGACGATACTTTAGATGTACACCGAGCATGAAATGAATGATCCGCTCCAACATCACAGAAATTCTCACGAATCCTTCCGGCTTCGCAATAGGCTCCTGGTAAATGGAAACCTCATTTCACCAGCCGAATGTTCGACCCTTTGGCACATACGCACGTGACGACAATATGTTGCATCAGCCTAGCCGATGCATGTTTCGCATTCCGCCGCATGAGTCCCGCGTGACGTCACGACCGCGAGCCACGCATTGTTCCTTTGATCGAGCATGGGGCTCCAGCCGGACCTGGCTCAACCGCCGATGGCCGATCAGCAGGATGGCAGCTCAGGTGACCACCTCGCCAGCCGTGCACCTGCTTCACGTCTGCCCGCACCAGAGCCTGTGGTTGGCGCAGCGCTAGGGCCTGTGGTTGGCACAGCGCAAGTCTGTGGCCGTTGCAACGTTAGGGCCTGTGGTCGTGTGCTTACCCAAGGTCAGAAGCAGTACATGCTTACCCGGTGTCGGAGGTTGTAGGTGAGCACCAGGTTCCTGGCGAAGGAGTTGGCGAAGGCGTGGTAGAAGTCGAGCACCTCCAGCAGCTTGTCCCGCTTGATGGTGTGCAGGTCGCAATAGGTGAGGGCGCGCACGTTGGCCGCCGCCTGGCCTACGGTCGGGTCTTTCCAGAAGGTGTCTCCAAACACATCCCCCTGACCTGAAGACGGCAAGGAGGGGGGGGGGAGGCGTCAAGCGAATTGAGAACTGAGTTGCGAATTCAGTTCTTATGGCACATGTACAGCGGCCTGAATTTGTAGATGCAAGTGCCACGTTTGCCTGGTCTGGCAACAAAAGACAGGATACACTGATTCTGGAGTGCCCGTTGCCAGTATCTCGGGCGCTTGGTTAACACACGGGTTTTGAAACGGTTCGCCTCAGCTCACAATCGGCCAAAAGCTGATAGGTGCGGCGCATATGCACTACCACGCCAGCGATCTGAGCCGCAAGCCCGGCCGAAAGGTTTTATTTTATTCACCGTTCAAAACGAGGCGCATTTCAGTTTTAAACTGAGGTTAAAACACCAGACATAAATCAAAAACCGTTTGAAAACAGCGGCACGGTCGTATCAGTCGTATCAGTCGTACGACGATCAAAACGATTGGTCAAGACAAACTGAGAGCAGGTCTCGCAGCTAAGGTCAGTGGTCGTTCGTGCCGTTTTTCCCACCCAGCCGTCAAATGGTCCCCTGTTGGGAATCAGTAACATGGAAGAGACAACCGTTGCAACCGTCAAGCTTTGAGCAAGGGTGCACACATTGAGTGGCAACTGCCTTCCGCGTCTGAATTTTAAGTCCTTCCTCAAAACGTGATGTTAAACGATTAATACTCGAGTCAGAGCACCTCGCAAAAAGCTTACGTAATTACCGGGATTGAAATAAGTGAAATGGGAACGGTTCTTCTGCGCTGAATGAGGCGGGCGCCAACGAAGCCATGCACATACATGACAACGTCATCACATCTCACTTGCACAGAGTACCCAAGCACACCCAGAAATAGCTATGCCTCCCTTCCCCTCCCCTCCAAAGTTTGGGGCGACTTGTTCTGTCGATGCTCCAGCTGCCATCAACCAACTGGTGATACAAGTCAACAGACTGCAGACTTTCATCTTGCCGACTTTTCTCGATAACCTGGTAGAAGTAATGTCCCACGAGATGCATTCATGCCAAAGTTTAAAACAATGCTGCGTTATCAGTGAACAATTGCGTAACTTATCTCAGCAAAGTGAAAAGTCATGTGATGTCGGAACTCCTTCACGCTCTACGCTCTTCCAGCGCGACTCGCCGTCTCATTGAAAACCTGTCGTTCTGTTCCAAGAGCCTGCAATCCTGTGAGTTGACGCACGAATGGAAGGGGGTGCCATTTAGCGGCAACCCGATGTCTTCCAAGTTGATCGTGATGGCAGGCGAGGAGAGCATTCGATATTTCTGCAGTCAAACACAGTGGCATAATAAATACGGCAGCTAGCTTCCGTTGTAAGCTTAAGCGTACTTCGGTAGTGTAAGTAGTGGCATGCTATTCATAGCACGCGCTCCAGACCCTTGAAGAAAGTACCGCTCATGACGAACAGTGAAGAACGGTGCCTACAGGTTAGGTACGCTGGGCGGATGACCAGCAAATGCACCGCGGGTCTTCCGAGTCCGCAGTGTTTCGAGTGTGATTAGCGCTTATTTAGGTTTCCATATCCAGACGAAGCAGTGCTCCGGTGGCAGCGTCGCAACGCGCACGCGCGCTGTATGCGTATGCGCGCGCGCGCGCGCGCGCGTGTGTGTGTGTGTGTGTGTGTGTGTGTGTGTGTGTGTGTGGTGTGTGTGTGTGTGTGTGTGTGTGTGTGTGTGTGTGTGGTGTGTGTGTGTGTGTGTGTGTGTGTGTGTGGTGTGTGTGTGTGTGTGTGTGTGTGTGTGTGTGTGTGTGTGTGTTCTTCACCGTTATTTCCGTACTATGATTAGCTAGCGTGACCTTAATGCGGCGAGTTACCATTATTTCGCGAAGGGTGGGAAAACAAAGCCATTATCCAGCCGGGATAAATTCTGTCGTAGTTCCATTTTCTTGACGTGTGTAAAAGGGTGTCTGTGGTTCCAATGCCCTGATACGCACGTGTTTCACGTAAGCGAAGCGACGATAGTCTTCATGTTGTCATGAGTACTAAACTCGTGGTGTCCATAATGGACTAGTCACAGAAAATTATACATTGGGCATGCCGCCATATTAAGTGTCTTCGCGCCGTGCACCTAATAAAAGCACTCCTACCGGACAGGTTAACAGGTTAACCCGGACAGGACAGGACAGGTTAACTGTACATTGCATTGGGATAGCGAGTGCTGCAAGGACACCTGGTGCTCGGTTATTGCTCGGCAGGTATAAATCGAACGCCAATTACTGCGGCTGGATCAGAAACTAGTGCCAGGCGTCTGGCACCATTTATTAGGCGTGGTAATTGATTGCTTCTCATGGCAATATCGTTCGTTTGAGCCTGATGTTGTATCAGTAAGTCGTACAGCCAATAGTAAAGTATGTCGGCCGTTCTAGGGAAGTCCGCCTGACTAGTCAGGACAGTAATGTCCATGATGTGGTCATATTAGATACCATCCCAACGCCAGCCAGACGTGGTTGCGTTTTGAGCAGTCGTTAAATACCTCGATATGTCCGGAATCTCTCTACTTGTCAATTGCAATAGCGCGTTACTCACGGCTGGCAGTAACGTCCAGACAACCATTATGACACTGGGACTCGCTGAATATTAGCAAACATAAAAATGGTTCGGTATTTTTTAAAAGCCGCTTAAGTACCAAGATTGCAAACGCAGGTTGCCATGAAAGCTCCGATCCATCACCACGGTCGAGCAATTTCACTTCATGGGACAGCTATTTCTTCCCCGCACATGTCTCCAAACACCAAAACATTTCAAAATCGTAGGCACCGCATGACACCGTTCAATACCACGCATGACACGTTTGGATGTTTTGTGACAATTACCGACCACATCATTAAGTCCAACATGACTGTCATACAAATCTATCTGCTATCTGGCCGCAAGAGCACAACCAGCGTGTTCGATAACTGTACGAATTTGCATAGCTGCAAGATGTACTGTGCTAACACGAAAGAAGGGCTTCGCGGTCTACAATCCCTGTCCGTTTTAACAAAGCATACCTGCCACTTCCAAGGCAATATCACCGGGCGTGGCTGACTGTGGGCGGCGGTGGCGGCGGCCGCTCGGGCCCTGCGGTTTCGCCAAACGTCCTCTGCAGCGGCAAAAATAGAAACGCAGGCGGGTGACCCTCCAAGCGAATGTTTTGCAAACCGCTCCGGCAAGCAATCAAACTGGAAGCGCCTTTTTCCAAGAAGCCACTCGAATACGTGGGTTCTGGTCACGCCTGCTGTCCACCATCCCCCCCCCCCCTCAGCCCCCACCCGCCGTCGCCAACCCGGGCTCTGGCAGCCGGCTGACCGGCCGGAAGGGGGGGGGGGGGGAGGGAGCCGGCCGCGGCACGCCCCGGCACCGATCGCCGGCGGCCATCAGCGGCTCGCGGACGCTCACGGCGCCACGGGCGGTCGGCGACACGAGCGCGACCGGCCTCTGCCGACCGGACACGAGTTACGGCGGCACTCCAGGCGGATAATGGCCCGGAGCGGCCAGCCCCGGCTATTTGAACCGCGTGCGGCCCCGGCTGCTGCCGCCGCAGCCGTGCCGACTGCGCCGACCGCTCCGCGGCGGTGCACGTGGAACCGCGAGCTGGTCATCGGCATAAAGAGGGGTTTCTAAACAGTTCTAGTTAGAAAACAACTGGAACATGTTGCACGTCCACAAGGCTGCATCTTCCTTAAGTTCATGTTTATGAATTATGAACTGTTCATAGATCTGATTGGGCGGTTCGAAATAATAGTCGGCCACACTAGTGAGCACTTCTACAAAATTACCCACCCAGATCGTTCTAGCTAGGCACAGCCAACGCATTCGTGCGCATTATCATCCACAATATCATTTTCACGTCGTTTTCCTCAATAATCATTGCTCCCAAAGCCCGATAATGATTCCCCTGGCACCGGCCACGAGCAAGCCGGTAAGTTCTCCACGGATGGCTTCATTTAACGACAAGCAGACTTCCAGCCAGCCGAGGATAACCACTTCCGACCACAGGCAGCGCGCTGACTCAGCGACAATTTACCCTTCAGCATCACAAGCTGACGAACTCTCCGCGAGCCGTCACCTCCAACTGCCAGGAGACCACGAACTTATCGCGGGTACCCCCGCCCCTCCCCTTACACCAGCAGACTACGAACTCACCGAGTAATTACCACCTCCGACCACCGGCAGCTCACGGACTCACCGACGGTGGTGGTTTCATCTTTTACACGCCGCAGCGCCACGAACTCGCAAAGCGTGAGCACCTCCGTGGCCTCCAGCAGCCCCGGACCTCACCAAGGACGAGCATCTCCGCAGCCTCCAGCAGCCCCGGACCTCACCAAGGACGAGCACCTCCGCAGCCTCCAGCAGCCCCGGAACTCACCAAGGATGGCGACCACCTCGTCGTCCTGGATGACCTCGAGCGAGCCGGACACGATATAGCAGAGCGTGTCGATGCTCTCGCCGGTGTGGAAGAGCATGTCGCCGGGGGCGCTGTGCGACATATTGAAGTGCACGGCCAGCGCGCGCAGGCAGCCGTCCGACGCCAGCCGGAAGGCGGGGTGCTCGTTGAAGACCTTGCGGTTCAGGTGCACGCAGATGTCGGCGCGCATGTCCTTCGGGCAGTAGTTGAGCACCTGGTGACGTCAGCAGAGGGTCAGCTGACGCCGCAGCTCCAGCGAGAGGCCCTTCGTAATCCTCCCGGCTGACGGCAGGGTCCCTACCTCGGCTTAGCTCAATGTTTTTCTCGAGTGAAATTCATTTATGTTTTTCAATTGTATTGACTGTGTTGAATGTGCACCTGAAGGTCTTGGCATCCTTGTATAATATGTGAGACTGATTAATACAGACGCGTGCTTGATTATTCTATCGCACAGACACTCCTGACAGTAACTGCCGGACGACTTAACTGACTTCTCAAACTGTTTCAGAGCAACTGTGGGCCAGGGTGTCGCTCAGCACCATGACGCACCCGTGCCAAACTGCATTGAAAGCCACAGTTGTCATGCGACATGCCATTCCACGCAGGTGCAAGCAACGAAAAAAGCGACTTGGATAAACTGTGGGTGTAGAACATTACTTTGCGCACTTACCGCCACGTGGACATGTTGCCGTGGTGACACATCTGTGCCCAGACACCGACATTTTTATTTTTCTTCTGCATTGCTCAGATGTCGTCGGGAGGAAAGTAATCACTGAGCCAGCAAATAAAACGCTACGTTTATTCCGGTTGGCCTGTAATTCCTGGGCGGTAATACCTGCACTTCAGCAGGCAGGAACGTCATCAAAACAACTGTAACGGTGCACGGGCTCATATGGTCCCATCCGCAGCATCTGCACTTCGCCTCAACACGCACTATACTGCCAGCGGGCCGGTAAAGCGGGTGACATCGAACGCATGCGGGAGCGGCGCGGGACGGCCGAGGGAGCACGCGACACCGAACACCGAGTTCACGACGGGTGTCGCGGTCGGTCCACATCCGGAGTACCAGGGTCAGTCTCGGCTGCCGGGCCAGCTCCGCCAGCAGGAACCCCTCCCCTCTCTTTCCCCTAAGGCGGCCCTCTGTCAGGCCGGGGGCGCCGAACCGCCGCAGGGCTGGGCGCCGAGGGTCGCGTCCGAGCGGACGCCGAAGGACGTTGACCCGCCATTTTCAGCGTGCAGTCGAGGAAGGAGGGGCCGACGGTTGCAGGGACGGGCGCACAAACTCAAACGGCTGCGAAGCAGGCTGAGCACCGAACAGGACCAGTGGTGATTGATCTGGCTGGATACTGCAAACGGGACTGAGGAAACCGACCGGACTGATGACGGGACTGAGGAAGCCGACAGGACTGACGACGGAACTGAGGAAGCCGACTGGACTGATGACGGGACTGAGGAAGCCGACTGGACTGACGACGGAACTGAGGAAGCTGACTGGACTGATGACTGGACTGAGGAAGCCGACTGGACTGATGACGGGACTGAGGAAGTCGACTGGACTGATGACGGGCTGAGGAAGCCGACAGGACTGATGACTGGACTGAGGAGCCGACCGGACTGATGGCGGGACTGAGGAAGTCGACTGGACTGATGACGGGGCTGAGGAAGCCGACAGGACTGATGACTGGACTGAGGGAGCCGACCGGACTGATGATGGGACTGAGGAAGCCGACAGGACTGCTGACGGGACGCCAGAGGCCAGCGAAACTGTAGATACTGATCGAACTGGGATACTATTTGGACTACAAAGGCTTACGGGCTTGTACGATCTGCCAGGACGGGACACACTGACCGGAATGAGAATACTGGCGCTGCAGCAGGTCCTGTCAGGCCAGAGAATGTCCATCGATCGCACGCGCCCGTCTGTCTCTGCCGGCCTTCGCCTGCAGCTGACGGTCGACAAAAGCGGCGCGGCACGCGGCGGAAACAGGGCAGGTGCGCCAAGCGGAGTGACGGCTGGAAAACGGTGCAGGCCGGGTGCAGAATCGAGCGAAACGGGCTGGAATAAGACCTGGCCGGCCTGTCGGCGAATACCGAGGTCCCCAAGGGAGAAGGGAGCCCCAGGCCTAGCCGCCCTGCTCCTAACGCAGCCTCCGAGGTGCTGGACGCCGTCACTGACAAACGACCGCGACCGATCGCCGCGACTCTGCTGACCGATTGTTGTTTGCTCTGCTGCGGCCTGTGTGCGGGCGACTGGGGTCGGAGGTAGTCCATGTGCGCTGGCTTGGGTCAGCTGTGGTCCATGTGTACTGGCTGAGGTTAGAGGTGGTTCGTGTGTGCCGGCTGAGGTCAGAGGTGGTCCGTATATCCGGCTGGGGTCAGATGTGGTCCATGTGTGCTGGCTGAGGTCAGAGGTGGTCTGTGTGTGCCGGCTGAGGTCAGAGGTAGTCCGTGTATGCCGCCTTGGGTCAGCTGTGGTCCATGTGTGCTGGCTGGGGTCGGAGGTGGTCTGTGTGTGCCGGCTGAGGTCAGAGGTAGTCCGTGTATCCGGCTGGGGTCAGATGTGGTCTTTGTATGCCGCCTTGGGTCAGATGTGGTCCGGGTATGCTGGTTAGGGTCAGAGGTAGTCCGTGCGTGCCGGCTGAGGTCAAAGGTGGTCCGTGTATCTGGCTGAGGTCAGATGTGGTCCGTGTGTGCCGCCTTGGGTCAGATATGGTCCATGTGTACTGGCTGGGACCGGAGGTGGTCTGTGCCGACCCTGACTCCGCCCAGCCTAACCCGGGCATTACTTTGAAAGCGAGCCGGCGGCTGTACCAGCTCGTGGAGTGAGCGGCTGAGCTGCTTCCCCGGAGCACCTTCCCTAAATCACCTGCGACGGGGAGCGCCTTGGCTTCCTGGACTCCATATTGCACAATCCGCCAGAGCGTTAACGTTTAAAGCTGGACAAACAACTTCCCTTAATAGAGCTATTGATTTTCGGGGCTGCAATTTCGTCCCGGGACCACGGAGATTGATTTGGGAAAGCGGCGAATCGGAAGAGGGGCAGATGGAAATTGTTGGGTCAAATGCAGACATATCAACGTTCATATATGCACCTTTACGTCAAGATATAAACCAATGGAACGTCGCTACTTTTCACGCCACTTGTTAGCGTTAAATGCTTCGAATCCGTCAAGCAGCATTCTCTACTTTTTGGGCGCTGTGTTCCTTCTCTCACCTAAACGCCTAGCCAGCCAACACTTACAAGAATCTCTGCTAATGACCTGAGTGCCGACTTGGTTTCTTCTCCGCGCAGCCTGCTTGACAGCTGCTGTGAGCATTGTTCTCCAGTCTCGAGGCCGTTTAGAGAGCCCTCTCACGGCGTCCGGAGAGCCCTCCAGTCCGACGAGCCTCCGGCGTCCGCACAAGGCCTCGGACAGCGGCAGTGGTGGCGGGGAGGGAGGGGGGGGGGGGGGGGGGGGCACTCGGTATTCGCCGGGCAGCTGCTTCACCTGGTGCCTGCCGCTGGGACCGCCGCCGCCACACTCGCCTCGCCCTCTACCTTGTTGGTGTCAATGCCCTTGGTCATGGCCCACGTGCTGACGACGTAGTCCATGACCCGCTCCGAGAGCGCCTTCGGCACCTCGTGCAGCTTCATGAACTCGCGCACGTTGTTGAGCATGTCGTGGTATTTGGCCGTGGCTGAGGTCATCTGCTGGATGATGGTGGTCACGTGGCCGAAGATGGTGGCGTACAGCAGTGCTGTAATGAGAGCAAGCCCTCTGTCATGCGACATCACGCTCTGGAGATGCGCGAATTGCTACACCGGGCCCGTCTGCAGCCTCGGAAACTGCGGCCCACGCGGGCACTGAGCTCCGTCTGAAGCCGCTCAAATCACGTTATGCCTTTTTCCAGGGCGATATGAAAAACAAGACCACAAAAACAGACCAGCTGAGCGAAAAGAGACCAGTTCAGAGCACCCCATATGACAATTTCTAAACTGTATGGGAGATAACAACGACCCGATTTCATTTTGATTCGTGGAAACTTCAAAGGGGTTTTGAATTCGCGAACAGCGAAGACTGGAATACGCTCCAGCACGCCCGACGTTCAACTTTGACCCATCCTGTGCAAGCGCTACTCCATCCCCAACCTGTTGACGCCCCAGGACGACGCATATGATTACCTTCCTCCTTTGTGCGGGATGTCGTCCGTATGGTACTGCATTTGTGCGACACATCATGTTCACCATGTTTATATTTCGCTTCGGGGTGACCAGGAGCGGGCCATTCGCGTACGGTCATACCCCGCCACAGGTGTTTTTCATCATTTTTCGAGCTTGATCATTTGTATCATTTAGGATGGAAAAAACATCAGACGTGATGAAACACGCTCAGTTATAACTATTGGCATATTCTTTAAGTAAAAAAGACTGCTCTAGACAGCATAATCCTGTTTCTCAAACATGCTCTTCAATGCGCCATGGTTCAATTACGTCATCGCATCCTGCTCAACACTGATCGATAACCAATGGACGGCCGTTATATCTGGAAATTGCGCTAACGAACGCGAGATATAAACGCCTCTACAGTTATACTTTTCTTAGCCTTGATTGTCATATGGCTTGCGGAATGGCAGGATTCGAAATGACGTTGTAATGACGCCATGAATGCCGAGGCGACTTTGAAATACCCTAGCCGATATACTTTTCCCATTTTTGCGGGCGTTTAGCTCAGAAATTACAAGAGCTTAAATCATGAGAAGGGCAGGATTGTGAGCAGCACCAAAAGGTCTTCAAGATGGCTACGCCATTTCGAAACCCCAAACAAATGTGAAACACTCCCTTTTAGTTGAGGTTTTCTACGATCTATAGGATAGGTCACTGCCAAACCGAATTCATTCACCACATTCTTTGAACAAAATCGCTAAGCTCCAGGAAAACCTGACCTATCCCAAGCTGCTATCATTGGAGCCCGAGCACCG